AAGTGATTGAAAGAAAAAAATTTTTAGAAAATTTAAGAAAAGAATATTTTGAACATTTGCATCTTCTGACTTTACTTTTACATCATTAACATGTTCATCATTGGTAAGAAAGTTTACTTTTAGATTATTTGTAAATATCATTGGCATTTGCATATATACATATGCATTTACATCATCATTTTAAAAATGGACATTTGCATTGTAGTGGCATTTGTCAGTTTTGGAAATGTTAAAGAAAAAAAAGTTAAAAAAAAATGGGTAAAAATATCCAAGAAAGTAAGAGAAAAGATTAAAAAGTTTTAGAAATTTCTATGAGGTTTTAAGCTTAAAATAAGAGCTTTAAACCCAATCTAGCTGCTATAAAAGTTGTAAGCCTAGTGAAATTGGCATTAGTTAAGAAAAATATTGTGATGAATTATTTTCAAATGTTTTTATGGTGACATTCAAGTTCTTTTTTGAATTTTCGATGGTGATACCTGAATTTTTTTGAAGCTTTTGGCAATGACAAACTATTTTTAAACTTTTTAGTGGTGATATCTGAATTTTCTCAAATCTTTTGTGGTGACATCCAAATTGTTTTCAAATTCACCAATGGTGATATTCAAGTATTAAAATTAAAATTTTATTTTTTTAGTAGTGATATCCAAGTCTTTTCTAAAATCTCTTAGTGGTGATATTTGAACTTTTACAAATCACTCAGTGGTAATATCTAAGTATTCAAGTTTGAATTTGCATAACTTTATTTATGGTGATATTTGAATCCATTTAAACTTTTTCGGTGGTGATATCCGAGTTCTTTTCGGTGGTAACATTCGAAGTTATTTGCATTCATTCAATGGTGATATTTGATTTTTCTTCAACGGCAACATCCAAAGATAGCTACATATTTTTCCTAGGTGGTGATATCCAATTTCCCTTTGATAGTGATATCAAAAGTCATTAGCTATACTCAATGGTGATATTCGAGTATTCATGTTTGCATATCATTACAGTTTTCTTAGTGATGATATCCAAGTAATAATATCTAAATATTAATCACATATTCACTCGATGATGATATCTGAGTTCCTTTCGGTGTTGATATCCCAAGTCCAATAAGTTTTAAAAATTGAATGTTTCTTTTTTTACAAGCAAATTTTTAGAATGGATTTGTAAGATCTTTGAGCATAATCTCCAAATTATCGTAATTTATTTTAAAGTTATGGAATCTCTAGTGAAAAGAGTTTTTATTTTAATTTATTTTAATTTATTTTCACAAGTGTAGAGCATCTAATAAGAGGAGTTTTTCAAGATAAAAAAATTAAAAAAAATAAAAATTTCAAGAAAAATCAAAATAAAAAAATGCTTGAGGTTAATGGGCCTAGACAAAATTGTTGTCTATATATTTTTTTATTCTTAATTTTAAAAAATGTACAATAAGGGGCAGCTGTAGACAAATTTTTGTTTATGTGACTAATTTCATATTTCAAATTAATTCAACTTTCGAGCTTATTTTCAAATTTTTACCAGGTCAATTTAATCTTGATTACTTTGAAAAAAATAAATAATAAAAAAAAAGAAAACAAAAGTTAGAGCTTGATGCCATGCATGCTACTAGCCCCTTACCTTGCATCAGCCACCTTACCCTTGCCATTGCGATTCCCTTTTCCATTAACCCAACCTCTTTTTAGCAATGAGAATTAATCATTTTCTTTAAGCAACCTAATCGAAAACAAAATAAGAAAGACAAAAATAGGATTAGACATAAATTGGTTTTAAAAGCAAGATCATAGTAGAAATGCCTAGCAAGCCACCCTTGTTGTAGAAAATTTGATAGGTTTTTTGGTTGCCAATGACACAATTGAAGCCTCACTATCTAAAAAAATAAGGGATTCGAAATCTCATTTTGGCTTTAGAAAATGAACCCACATGGCTTGGCAAAAGAAGGGGTCGAAACTTTGAAAGAAAATTTTCCCACTTTCCTCAATCCATCTAACCCTTGGCCATTCACCAATAAAAGAGCATAATCCTTACCATTTCTATCCAAACCACCACCCAACACCCTTGAGTTCACTAGCATTGACACCTTGAGACAAAAAAGAACCTAAAACACCATATTTGGAAAACCACCCTAGCCAATAACTCTAAGAGCAAACCATCAGAAGCCCTACCATGTAGTCCTCTAGCTACTGTTAACCAATATCGTAACCCCTTATTCAACCTTTCCCCACCCACCAACCACCATCATGAGCTTTGCTCACCACCTCTAACAAAAAAAAAACCACAAAAACACTGAAAAAAGGGCTGAAACTCAGAAAACCAATCAACAAGGCAACCAAAGAAAACACTAAAAAATCAATGATACAAAAAAAAAATCACAATCCTCCTGAAAAAGAAGAACCACAGCATTTGGAAACAACATGGAAAAATACAAAAATAAAAGAAAATTTCAGTTTGAAGAGGCTTTGGGCTCAGATATTTGAAAGAGAGATAAGATGAAGCTAGGTTGAAAACATCCTAAAAAGAAAGGGCATTTGAAGTAGCGAAATAAAGGCTTTTTGGGTTTTGAGAATGAGGACTTTTGGCCTAGATTTAGAGCTTTTGGGGTTGTTTTAAGCTAAACAAAGTTAGGAACGAGGTAAAGGATGTCAAAAGAAATTTTTTGGTGTTTTTTTTAAGCTAACTACCTTCAGTAAGAGGTAGACGGTGCAACGTGCTAGCACAAAATCTAGGTAGTGTGGTTGTCGACCATTTGGTTCTTTTTTGAGAATTTAAAGGTTTTTTTTTTTTGAAGAAATGTTTAAAATGAAGTAAAAAAAAGTTAGCTTATATAAGATAAAAAAAAGCTATCAGCGACTTTCTCGCGGACTCGACACAACCCGTTTTTCACTCTTTTCAACAGTTTTGAATTGGTCTAGTCAGATCGCTTTTGAACTAGTGTGAACCATTCGAATTGTGTTTGGATTGCTTGAACTATGCCCAAATTGCTTACAGACCATGTGTGAACCGGTCGAACTGACAGTGAACTGCTACAAAATCGTTGATTGGCTTTGATTAGTTTTTTGGGGTAATTTTTTATTATTCCTCTTATTTTTTCTATATATTTTCACCAAGTTATTTATGTGTTCGTTGATACACATTTAAATTTTAAATTTTTGAATAAATATATGCAAACAAATGTATTAAAAAATCTAATTTTTTTTTAAAATCATCCAATAATGAGATTTTAAGATAATTTGAGTGGTGATATTTAAAAACTCTTTAAGTAAGAAGGTTTATAATATAAATATAATATATATATATATATAAACCTTGTTAAAAGCTTATAAAATTGTCAAAGAAATTATTTGATTCCACAAACCAAATTAACAAGATAAAATATATTTTTTAAGTATTTTTAAAAAATAAAAACTAATTAAGCAAAAATATGATTTGTATCGGTCTATAATTTCATTTATAAAATTAAAAATTTTATTGATAATATATCTAATAATTTTTTATAAAAATAATGTTAATTCTTTGGCATTTGAGACTTCTTCACAAGTGTAATGTTTTTATTGCACCACCTATTTTTTATTATTTTTTTGTAATGCTGATGTGATTTAAGTTCTTGTGGTTGGCAATTAAATTTATAAAAGCAGTATGGATATCCTGCATAAAACAAAATAAATAATGCAATGTACGATCCGCAATTATGGCAACTTCCCAACAATATTTTGATACGTGGTTATAAAACTTGTTTAATGCCTTTCTACTTCTACGTATCAAGTGCTGTCCCCCATCATCTTCTAACTGGTTGATGTGGGTATCACATTGATTTTTCTTTTTTTTTTTTTTAATTTATTCTTACACCTATCAAATTAAAATTTCATATTTGTCAACAATTATGTGATTAGGATTGAAAAGAAATAAAAATACAAAATTAATTCAAAATTATAATGTTAGATTAGTTTGAATTGATTTTATTTGATTCAATTTAGGTATAAATATTAAATACTTTAATTAGGTTTGGTTCAATTTTCAAATAGAAAAATAAAAAAATAAAAATATTTAAATCGAACTAAATCATATATTTTTATTACTTTTTATATATTTTTTAAATTTTTTATAAAATAAAAATAATTAATTTATATCTAAATCTATTTAAATATATTAAAAATAATAAAAAACATTAAAAAATAATTTTTTACTTGACTCTATCTAGTTCATATTTTAAATTTATAACACCATACATTAATTGAAATAATTTAGCCAAACTAAATCGTTCTCATCCCTAAATATGATCTGTTAAAAAAAATATTAAAATTTTAATTTGAATAATCAACATTCAATCATTAATAGTTTTAATAAAAAAATATATAATTTATATCTACATCTAAACATTTTCAATTTGATTTTGCTTATTTAGAGATAATTATTTATTTATAAAATAAGTTTTTGCCCTGTAAACTTGCATTATATTGACTCATTTTATTGTACTGTATTTTTGCCCAATTTGTATAAAATTATACCATAGCACATTTGAAATTCTATTCGCTGTGCCATAAATTCGACCCAAAATCTTGTACGTTCTTGTTTAATTCATAATTGCCTGTCCAAAAAAGTTTCATTCAGAACAGTCTAAATGCGAGAAATATGATTTCAAAAAAATTTATATTATTTACACAATATCAATATTTTTTTTTTCATTTTCGGATTTAGACTATATATCAGGTCGTTAGCTTAGGCCTTTGAAAGTGCCAAAGAGCCATGCAAAGACTATTAATATACGATAAATTTAACCATCAAATGGCATCGGCAATTGACAATTACATATTTATTTTTTTCTTCTTTTCACTTATAATATATATAAATTATTAATAAATTTATTAATTTTATTGATAAAATTGATTTTCAGAAAAAGAATTTTTGAGAGTTTAAAAAAATTTTCTTCAATTTTTTTATTTTTTAATTTTTAAAAACATCTATAAAAATCTTACTTCTAAACATGGATGATGCATTATCTGGATGATGTAGTTGGTTATCACTCTAGTCTAACACACTAGAGGTCCCATGTACTAAACAAGGCTTGGATAATTTGTAAATGGTGGGATCTACCAATTTCAATTCCCCAAAGGATCCACTTTTTTAAAGTTTAATTAAAACCCCAACAAACTTGATTCATGACAGTTTGACTTCCCTTAATTAAATCATGGTCTAGAGGCATAACGGTTACCATTCCAACCCCTATAAATTGTGCCATAGCTCATACCCAAAATGCAATAAATACCATATAACTTTGTTGTTTGTCACAATTATTAGCACTTTGTGTAGGAAAAAAAAAATGAAGAGGGTTTCCATTGTTGCCTTGTGTGCGATGACACTGATGGTGGTGCTGTTTTCAGGTGAAACTCGTACGGCGGAAGCAGTGACATGTGACCCCTCCGAGCTCAGCTCCTGCTTGGCGGCGTTCACGTCTTCATCACCTCCATCAACCACTTGTTGCAGCAAGCTGAAGGCGCAGCAGCCATGCCTTTGTGGGTACCTTCAGAACCCAGCTCTTAAACAGTTTGTTAACAATCCCAACGCTAAAAAGGTTGCTAGCACTTGTGGAGTTGCATATCCTAAGTGTTAAAAGTTTGCTTTACTTGAATATTTATTGGCAGCATAGGACTGTCGTCTTGTTCTCAACTGCTCATATAAATAAATAATGATGAGATGAGATGAGATGAGATGAGAGGTGATAATATTAATGTAATATTTTACTTGTCTAAGGCTAGAGTAATAATAATAATATTAGTAGTGATATTTACTATTTACATGTGTTTCTTGGGGAAATACGGCTTATTTTTTCTTTTCTTTTATATATATATATATATATTTTTTTTTTTCTTTACTTGTTTCCTCTCTTTGATTTCAGATGCAATACTCAAACAATAAAAATTTATCATGATTCATGGACAGTTACGTTCACTTTTTGACTTCCCAATGAAAGAGAAACACAACAATACAAGTACCTAGTTGAGTGAAGGCCTAAAGGGATTATAAATATATATCACATGAAGAATAATATTGATACTCAATGATGTTTACTGTAAAAAATTCAAAAAAAAAAAAAGAACACATACACACAAAAATAACAACATGAAATACAAAAGGTAAGACTATTTAGATTTTTTATTTTGAGATTAAGATTATTTAGAGTTTGAGTGTAAAAAAAAAAATCTATAGTCTGAGCAACAAATATGCTCATGATTAAGTGTTTAGGTTCTTGAATGAAGATGAATTACCATCAGCACAGTTTTTATGTGATAGAAACTAGAAAGTGAGATCAACTATAAACACACGATCCTTCCATATTTGTAGTAAAACATCAAGAAAGTCCTTGCTCGGGTTTTAGCTGATCGATTTGGATTAAGATATTAATCAATGAGTTCTTGATAAATTAAAGGTATCAAAGTCTTTTTTGATTTTTTTTTTCAATGCGACCAAGTAAACCCGAAAGTCTATCAACCCAACCCATGAAAGGGACATAATCAGAAATGAAAAAGCTCACAAACATGGCCTGAGTTTCCTTAAGCAACCCGTGGAATCTACTTCTTTCAATTCCTCCTTCATATCTTTGCTAAAACCAAGCCTATAAGTTGTTGTACTCTTAAGACACATCAATGCCTCTTTCATGTTGATTAGTTTTGAACAAATTGATTATTTGATATCCTCTCGGATGCGACGATGAAGTAACGTTCTATTAGGGTTAACAAGATTGACGGCGCAAAATTTTCTAATCTCTTCAATAAGAGCTATAAGGTGACAAACCCAAATCTAAGCCATTATAAGATTAACTTGTACTGGCCGCCTAAAGTAGACCTCCAAAAAATTGAAGTTATGGTAATCATTAATTATTAGTATTATCCTTCCTTAAAATTTGATATGCAGTATTTTTTATTTTTTATATAATAAAAATTAAAGAAATAATTGAATTTCTTAATGAAATAAATATTTTATTTTCACCCTATTGGAGCTATAATTTAAGATTTCTATCTGAAGCTTATCGCATCCATATGACTTGTGTTGAGCCTCTTAATAATATGTGTTAACGTCTTATAATAGGAGATGGATCGGACTGGAAGAACCTTTAAGGCATTGAGCGAACCACATGAGATCTGTCAACGAATAGATAACAGTCAAGGGAGACGAAACTGTTATATTTATCTCGTATTAGTAGACTAATAAAATTAATATATATTAAATTATATTAATTAATATCAATTAATAAGTAATTATTGTGATATCATATTGTAATTTATCAAAATAATAGTATGATTATTGTTAAATGTGATTTTAATTTAATTTTATATTTGGACCCATAATAAAATGGGTTGATTTTAACTAACATGTAAGGGGCAATTCCTACTCTCACTTCTCTCTATATATATATATATAAGGCTAACCCATTGAGTTTTATAACTTCAATTTTGGTAGGTAGAGAGCAATTGTCTCTCCTTTTATTATGCATGTCTTCAATCAGGCCCCAAAGGCAGGCAATTGAGAGCTCGTGACAATTGCATCAATTATATAATTATGGATTTAGCGAGATTGAGCTTTTGCCTACATCCAAATTAGTTTTAGTGTCTGTAAAATTGTATTAATGATCTTGTAAGCTTTTGAGCTATAACTAATGGTTGGTATTAGAGCCATACTCACCCTAAAGGTCACTAACCACTTTTGTTTGGCATGACGAAGTTTTGGTTTTTTCGGTTTTTAGACCCATGCTGTTTTTTGCATTTTTGGCTCAAATTTTCTGTTTTATTATTATGAAGCTTGAAGGAGATTGAAATCCAGCCTTTTAGATCCAAAACCGTGCAAAAATGATGAGTTTTAAGTCGAATCAGGTTGAGTTAGAAAACCCAAAACTAGGCAGAATGAGCAAGGAAGACTTGCGAATTTGTGTGGTGCACAAGTTCGAAGCTGTACGTGAGGCATGAGCAGTTTAGTTAGCATGAGAACTGTAACACACGTGCCCATTTGCCTGACTTGTGCGTGGTGCATGTGTTACATACGCCACATGCAGCTCTTCAGGTGCATGCAACGCGCGTGTAAACCCTTGATAGGCACGAGTTATATGGCATTTTTGTCCCTTGTAGTTTAGGCCATTCCTATTTAGGCTAATCTAATTTTTCTTTTTTCGTATTAGGTCCTGTTTTTCCTCTTTTCCGATAATTTTTGACAAAAATTAAGGGATTTTTTCATTATTGTTAGGCCAATTTGATTTTCCCTTCTATGTAGGGCTCTATTTCTATTTAGGTCTTTCAATGTTGGGTCATTTGGTAAAAATTAAGAGGTTTTTATTTATTATTATTGTTGGACTATTTTATTTAGTCCAAATTTAATGATTAAATTTTTAGGTGTTATTAATTTAATTAATTTTGGTCATGTGGTTAATTAATTTGGACTAAATGAACTTGTTGGATTTTGTACCACATTAAATTAAATTTAGATCGATTTTAATTTTAATTCTATTTAGGGCCATTTAGGTCTAGGACATTTTGTTGGAATTAAAATTTGGCTATTTTGTTTTAGACCAAATTTGTTGAAATATATTATGCGTAATTTAATTAATTTTTGGTCATTTTGCATAAGGCCATTTTAGTTAATATTTTTTATAAAATATTTTGGGTCTAAAATTAATGGCTCAATTCTGTAAATATTAGGAATAATTAAATTGGAGATAAATGAATTACTTGGGCACTATGGTTAGCTTAATTACGATAATTAAAATTTATCCATTTCGTCAGTAATTCATTTAATTATATAAAAACCCATTTAATTAAGAAATTTACCTTATTATTTAAATATTCATAATAAATCAAATTACTTGGTTTTGTTAGAACTAATTATCAATATATACTTCACCACTGCATATTTCTATTCTGGTGTAACCATAAGCTGATTTTGGCTGTTAAAGTGTCTTGACGATAAACATTTATATAGGGCTTTTAAAGCCTTCTATTTTATTGAGTTAATGGGAGTTTTGTGTAATAGAAATTAGTTGCAACTGTGATAGATGCATTCTCATTTGCCATACATATATTACATTTAAGCACATTTTGTTGGTATGACATTTCGTTGGATGAGATATTCAAGTTTAGTTTCATGTGCTTCTTCTGAAGTAACATATCATTCAATTTAAATGTTAAAGACTTAATGGAAATGGATGTTGATTTTTTTTTTCATATCATTTCCTTTTATACTATAATACAATTACTTTTGAGGTATTTATGAGTTTGTGTACATGTATACTGTTAGTACGATATCATTTTATAAGCTCATAAATGCTTGTTGTTGTTTTGTTGTTGCTGTTATTAAAGTATTCATAAGTCTACATACATATATCTTGTTGATGTAGTACATTTCAAAGCTTATGAGCACCTTCAAATGATAGAGAGCATGCAAGCCCACACACTAATACCCTATAGGTATAATGTAATTTAGGACTTACAGATGTTCATTCTATTGTATGATGAGTTTGGTATATACTCATATTTATATTTTCTGTTTATGGCTATTTTGTTAATCCGGATTCAAGTTTAATGATTTGTTTTCTACAAGTGGGAAATTGTTGTATTTATCTCGTATTAGTGGACTAACAAAGCTATTATATATCATATTATATTAATTAATGTCAATCAATAAGTAATTGTTATGGTACCATGTTGTAATATACCAAAATAGTAGTATGATTACTACTAAATTGATCCCGATTTAATTTTGTATTTAGCCTTATAAAGGGATAGGTCAATTTTGACTAACATGTTAAGGGAGGTCCTTGCTTTCACCTCTATACATATGAGGCTAGCCTATTGAGTTTCATAACTTCAATTTTGAGAGACAAATAGTAGTTCTTTTTTTTTTTACCATGTAGGTCTCCAATTGGGCCCCATAGGCAAGCAATGGGAGCTCATGATGGCGACATCAATTATGTTGCCGTGGATTTAATGGGGTTAACCTTTTGCCTGCATCCAGATCAATTTTAGTTTTTGTTAAATGGTATTAGTAACCTTATGAGCTTTTGGACTAAAACCAATAGATAGTTGTTATTTTAAAACACCTTTTGATTATCAAATTAATTTGATATTTCAATTAAAAAAAGTAAAAAGATAAAGAAATGAGTCAGGTCAATCCTTGTTTGAACAGGTGACATCTATCTTTAACAGTCATGTGGATAGATCCTTGATCATGTTGATTTGGCAATGCTTTGGGCTTTAGGCATGATAAAACAAGGGTATAACAATATCATTTAATTTTCTCTTATTATCATTGATGTGCTTCACGTGTGATTTCTACCTAATTTATAAGAAAACAATCCCTAAAACTTTAATTTGATAACCACCTATTCCATGTTTTGAAAAAAAATTAGATGGCACATTTGAGGATTTAGGGATAGAAAGATTGCTTTTGTTTGTATGGCTAAAAGAACGAAAAAATTAAGAAAACAAAAAGAGCTCTTGAAGCTTTAAACTATCTCTGGTGGTATCAATAGCCACAACTCATGTTGTTATCTTCTTTGATGGCATTTCTAAGGTGATTTCTGATTCCACCAAGGAATTGATCAAGCAAACTATCTCAACTATGCTAGGGATTCTCCTATTTGATCAGTTTTTCATTTTGGTTTCCCTTTCGAAACCTTATTTTCATTGCCTTATTTTCTTTTCTATTATCATAAGGTAAAAATTTTTTACTTCAACCTCAAAAAAGTAAAATTTTCTTTTATAATTTATTGTTTTTATAATAAAAGAGATTATTTTTTTTCTTTAGGTATACATTATGGAATGCAGA